AGAGTTGGCACTGCTCGCAGTAAATATCGACAATAACACATTTGTGTTTCACTATCTACCAATTACCATGCATTGGTAGTAGCTGCCTCAACATCCAGCCTTGGTTGTCCAACTCCACAATAGAAATTAAAAAATGAAAACAAAAATCTTTTAAAAAATTCCGAGTTTACGAGGAAAAGAAAAATGAATAACTTTTCATTAGCATTGAAGGAAGCAAGTTTATTCTTTTTTTTTTGTGAGTTTGATTTGAATAATGTATTTTTTATCCTTCTGATCCAATTTTGGATAGAGTGACAACATTTTAAGTAGATTGAAATGTATCTAGGGCACTTGGAATTTTTGAAAATAGAGGTATGGGTATTCTACATTTTGATATTGTTATGAAAGAGGGAAGGGAAAAATGATGGAGGAGAAACTAGTTCTTGCAAAATAATCGTGGAGGAGTGACTGTGTGATAGACATACATACACAAGGGAACCAATAGAGAAGAGAACTTAGACAGGTAGTCATATCTTTTCATGTAACAAATGTAAAAGATAAAGTGCAAGAAGATAAAGAAGGTTTGAAAATATCATTTACTACATAATAATAAATAAACAACACAAAACTATCTTCATAAAACTGTCTTCACAATTTAGGAGAGAAGCATGTTCTCCTCATGATTCACCAATTTTCAAATAGAATGTGTACTTCTTAATATGAAATATGCAATTTCAAGGCCTATTTTAAGACTCAACTTTTTATGTGTGAAATAATATTCATTTTCACTATTAGAGTACATATTAACTTGTAAGACCATATGGTGGCTCTTTTGTTTGCAACAGCATCACTCAATAGAAGTAGAGCTGACTTGTGATACCCATATAGAAGTGGGGCAGATTTGTGAGGCTACTGATGTAATCGACAGAGTCAAACTCAAACTAGTCGAACATTTAAAACTTGAGAGCTTAAAAGAATTGAGTTTGAACTTGTCAAATTGCTCAAGCTACTTGAACTCGCTTAACATAGCGAGTTCAAGTTTTGATAAGGAATCTTGTAAATAATTGGATTCAAATTTACATTGATAGGAGATTAGTTTTGTTGTGACAGTACATTCACTGAACTTGTCAAATTTGAGTTTTATTCGAGTTTGAACTTGTCAAACTACTCAAGCTGCTTGAGCCTAGTAAACATAATCTTGAATTCAAATTTTGACTAAGAAAGCTCACGAATAACACGACCTCGAATTTAAGTTTTGACCGAGAAAGCTTGTAAATAACTGGATTGAATTTTACACCAATAGGAGGTAAAGGGTTTTTAATGAATCGAATCAAGCTTTCAAATTATAGATTTGAATTTTTGGGTTCAAGCTCGAATTCAAGTTTGAATATTATACAAGCTTAAAATTTAACATCAAGTTCAATTAGATCTACTATTCGATGGGCTTGAGTTTGATCTGAAAGCTCAAAAATTTATTTAAATTTTTAATATTATTTCACCAATATTACCTATGAAACATATAGAGAACAAAATAATAAGTATATCATTTTATATAAATTATTAATAACTTTTTTGAATAAAACATAAAAAATTATTCGAGCGTTAACAACCTAAATGTCTATAAACTTGAATTCAATTTGAATCGAATCTTACTTCTTGTGTGAATTTGAATTCAAACTCGTCAAATTCAAACTCAAATTGAGCCCGAACAATTCATTAAGCATTCCTGGAGCTATATTTGGTTGATGGTGGGCAATTATCCCCACTCCACTTTTAAAAATACCTTTCTAATTAGTGTAGAATTTCATCTAAGTTTCAATGCTTGCCCCTAAAATAATAAAAATGAGGAACAAACATATAAATCAAATGTAAGTTGACCCTACTAGGAGAGAGAATCAAGTATTTCATTCTTTATATAACATTAACACATTCATATTTATTGAACTTGATTTTCCAACCTTCAAAGTAAACTATCATCTTTTCTATTTTTTAGCATTATGTTTCCAAAATTTAGGAGAAAACAAGGAATAACTAAAAATAGGGAGAAAAAAATGAATACTTTTTTTTGTCGCAACGATAGAATTCCTATAACCTAATCTAGGGAGAGAGGATTCAATGTAAGTAGATGTTAGGACAAAAGATTTTAGAAATATTGAGCAGAAATAGTTAGAATTAATGACGGAAATAAGCATTAGTGACCGTTTTGTGGTCTGCTGAGTTAGTTAGGTTAGTTAGTCAAATAACAATAAGTAGGGCCCTTACTTGGGAAGTTGGCAGACTGTTTTATGAATCAAAATTTCATATTCTCTCTCTCTTCCCTCCCGTGCTCTCCTTCTCTCTTCCTTTCTTTCTCTACATCTCTTTCCTCATCCCTTTGGCTTATTTTCTGCAATTTAATCATCAATATATACTAAAGTCCTAACAAATTGGTATCAGAGCCTGCAAATCCTTGGACAGATCCTTATGGATTCATGGCAGAAAGCACCAGGTTTAAGACACTGGAAGAACAAGTAAGGAGGCAGGAAACTAAGCTAATGGAAATAATGAAGAATCTTCAATCTTCGTAGTTATCACAGCAGCAGCTCAAAGAGGAAATCCGGCTGGAACTGGAAGGAAGCAATAAACGCATGGAGAGCTTGATAGCTAGAATGGAACAGAAATTTGATGCGTTTTTAGAGCAAAATTTAGTTCACTAATGCTAAATATGACATGCGGGAAAGAGAAGTTGCTCCAAGATGAAATTCGAGAAAAAGCAGACCAAATACCGCCATTGTTGCCAACTCTTCCTCTGCAATCCAGACTGTATCCAGAAACAGAACTTCCAAGAGCTCCCAGGAGAGAAGGTAAAATCCAGATTCCAAATCCTCCAAAAATTGATCTACAATTGTTTTCAGGGGAAAATCCGAGAGATTGGATAAGAAAATGCAACAAATATTTCATCAATTACCAAATTTCGGATGATAAAAAAGTGACAATAGTAGAGATGTATCTTGACGGATAGGCTGATAGGTGGTTTCAAGGAGTGAAAATTGAGAAACCAAGACTAACCTTGGAGGAATTTGAGGAGATACTATGTAAAAGATTCAGTGATAATGGCTACAGAGATCTGGTTGAGGAATTTAACAAGTTACAACAAGGGGGGAGTGTTGAAGAATACCAGGAGAGGTTTGAAGAATTGAAGCCACTAATAATGATCAAGAACAAGAATCTTGATGAGAGCTATTTTATTTCAAGTTTTATCAGTGGTTTAAAAGAAGAAATTAAGCCTATGGTGTGAATGCTGAGACCGATTACACTGTTTGAAGCTTTTGAAGTTTCTCAGCGCAAGAACACAACATTAAAGTCCAATCTAGAAGAGTTAAAGAAGACCACAGGAGTATGGCAGAAAGTAAGTTTGAGATCACCAAGAACACTGATTTAATGGCAGTTAACACCAATGTGTATAAAATTCCTTCAACTGGAAATTTTAGGAACACTAAATTCGGGAATTTGCAAGCTGATCATCAAGATTCAAAAAGGATTTCGCCTCAAGAGAATCAGTACAAAAGGAATCATGGCTTGTGTTTTAAGTGCGGGGAGAAATATGGACCTGGACATCAATGTAAGCTAGGTCATCTAAATTTCCTGATCTGTGAGGAAGAAGATGACTCAATGTTTGAAGATGTAGTGGGGGAACAAGATGACCAAATAGGAAACCCTGGCCAAGTTCTGGAAATGTCCCTTCATGCCTTATATGAGGCTTTAAAAAGGAAGACTATTACCATAACAGGGAAACTAGATGGGGAAGAGGTGATAATTTTAGTAGATACTGGCAATTCAGATAGTTATGTCAACAGTGAATTGGTCATTGATATGGATATTAAGTATCAGATGGTCTCAAGCCCTTTCTCTATGACCATGGGAAATGGAGCCTGTGTTACCAGCAATGCAGTTTGCCCGGGGGTAATGTGGGAAGTCAATCAACACAAATTCAGGTTTGATTTTAAGGTAATGGAATTGGGAGGTTGGGACATCATACTGGGAGTGGACTGGATAGTGCACTTCAACCCAATCACATTTGATTTTCATCAGTTGAGAATCTCCTTATTTAACCAAGGACAGACAGTACATCTACAAGGACAAGCTGAAAAGTGTGACTTACATTTAATCAGAGGGAAAGATTTGAGGTATTTCATTGAATATAAAAGACAGGTATGTGTAGCTATGGAATTGACGAGAAAGTAAAGGTGGAACTGAGAGTGTAATACCTAAGAAAGTGGAGGACATTCTCAGTGAGTATGCTGATGTATTCAAAGCACCAGATTATTTACCCCTTAACAGAAGCATTGACCATGAGATTACCCTCAAACCAGGAGCTCAGCCAGTCAAGCTCAAGCCATATCGTTATCCCCACTCTCCAAAGGGGGAAATAGAGAGACAAGTCACAGAGATGTTGAAAAATGGAATAGTCATACACAGTACCAGTCCCTTTACATCTCCAGTCCTGTTGGTGTAAAAGAAAGAAGGGACCTGGAGGCTCTGTGTAGATTATAGGAAGCTGAATGAGATGACTGTTAAGGACAAGTATCCAATACCAAATGTAGAGGAGGTACTGGATGAGTTAGCAGGAGCTGTATTCAAATCAAAATTGGACCTAACAGCAGGAGATCACCAAATTCGAGTTAAGGCCAGGACATCCACAAAACAGCCTTTCAGACTCACTGTGGCCACTATGAGTTCCTAGTCATGCCATTTGGTCTTACTAACGCACCAACCACTTTTCAATCCTTGATGAATCAGGTATTTTAGCCATATCTCAATAAATTTGTCTTGGTTTTTTTTATGACATCCTAGTTTACAGTCACACATTGGAGTCACATGCCCAGCATTTGAAAATAGTGCTTGATATATTGAGGCAAAACCAGTTATATGCAAAAAAAGTCTAAATGTGCTTTTGCTCAGAAGACAATAGAATATTTGGGACACATGATTTCTGAGAAGGGTATTAGTATGGACCAATCTAAAGTCGACTGCATCTTGAAATGGCCTGTACCTTAGACTGTGAAGGAATTAAGGAGTTTTTTGGGGCTGACAGGGTATTACAAAAGGTTCATACAACACTATGGACATATAGCTTTATATGGAATGAGGGAGCTCAGAATTCTTTTAAGCAATTGAAGCAGCTCATGGTCACTGCACCAGTACTTAAACTACTTGATTTCAGTAAGCCTTTCATCATTGAAACTGATGCAAGTGGAGGAGGTCTAGGAGTTGTCTTAATGCAGGAGGGCCATCCTATTGCATTTTTAAGCAAAGCACTCTCCCCTAGAAATCTTGGTTTATCTGTATCTGAGAAGGAACTCCTTGCCTTGGTCATGGCTATTACTAAGTGGGAGCATTATTTGCTAGGGTATCACTTCATCACCAGGACAGATCACCAGTCACTAGAATACTTGCTTGATAAAAAACTGAACACTGTGCTACAGCATAAGTGGTGGGTTGGACTATGAAATTCATTATAAAAAGGGTGCTGAAAATCTTGTTGCAGATGCACTCTCAAGGAGGCATGAGAGAGGTGTCACAGTAAACAGTAACACTAGATCCTGCTTGGCCCTTTCTGCTGTAAAACCAGGCTGGATTGAGGAACTGTTGAAAAATTATGAAGGTGATCCACAGTGCCAAGAGATCATGTCTCAGCTACTACTAGATTCAGCATCTCAACCTTTTTATACTCTAACAGATGGGATATTGAGATACCAAGAAAAAATGTATGTGGGCACAAGGAATGGCATCAGAAACAAACTTTTCACAGCCTTACATGCCTCTGCAATAGGAGGGAATTCTGGATAGAGGAGCTGTTAGTACAGGATCAAGTCTTTGTTCTACTGGCTAGAGCTCAAGAAAGATGTTATTACCTATGCACGGGAGTGTGATGTGTGCCGGAGAAATAAGCCTGAACACCTCCCATATCTTGGCTTATTACAGCCCATTCCAATTCCTCAACAAGCTTGCTCCCACATTTCTATGGATTTCATTGAGAAGCTTCCCAAATCACAAGGCTATGATACCATTCTAGTTGTTATTGACAGATTTACTAAGTTTGGACATTTCTTGCTACTAACACACCCTTTCACAGCAAGATAGGTGCACAAGTTTTCCTAGACAATGTTTTCAGGTTGCATGGGTTACCAGAATCTATTATCTTTGACAGGGATAAGGTGTTCACATGTTGCCTTTGGAAGAAGCTGTTCAAACTAGTAGGAACACAACTCAATTACTCTTCTTCATACCATCCCCAGTCAGACGGCCAGAGTGAGAGGCTCAACCAATGTTTGGAATCCTATTTGAGATGCATGACCTGTGAGTTTCCATCCCAGTGGAGCAAATCGATACCTATTGCAGAATGGTGGAACAATTCTGCATACCACACTAGCCTGGAACTCTCACCATTTGAAGCCTTGTTTGGGTACAAGCCAACTCATCTTCCGTTAGGACCCTATTTGGATTCAAAGATACCTGCTGCAGCCCAGATGTTGCAGGAAAGGACTAGAATTGTCAGCAGTATCAGAGAGCACTTATCCAAAGCTCAGAACATGATGAAGCATTTTGCTGACAAGCACAGGACTGAGCGAGAATTTGCAGTAGGAGACTGGGTATTTCTAAAACTGCAGCGTTATAGGCAGCAATCTGTCTCAATTAGAAAATGTTTGAAACTCTCTGCCAAGTATTTTGGGCCTTTTCAGGTTGAAGAAAGGATTGGGAAGGTAGCTTACAAACTGAAATTCCCTGCAAGGGCCAGAGTGCATCCAGTATTCCATGTATCCTTACTTAAGAAGAAGGTAGGCCTTCTGCAGCAGATCTCTACTACATTGCCAGAATAGGATGAACATGATCTGTGCCCTTTAAAACCAGAAATGGTCCTCAAAAGGAGAGCAATCTTATGGGATGGACAGCCTATTATGCAATTCTTGATCAAGTGGAATCATCTTAGCTTTGATGAAGCATCTTGGGAGGACAAAACCTTCATTGAGCAATAGTTCCCAGTTTTTTTGCAGACTTGAGAACAAGTCAGCTCACAGGGTGAAGGGATTGTTAAGACAAAAGGTTTTAGAAATATTGAGCAGAAATATTTAGAATTAATGACGGAAATAAGCATCAGTGAAGCTGCACCGTTTTGTGGTCTGCTGAGTTAGTTAGGTTAGTTAGTCAAATAACCATAAGTAGGGCCCACACTAGGGAAGTTGGCAGACTGTTTATTTTCTCTACATCTCTTTCCTCATCCCTCTGTTTATTTTCTGCAATTTAATTATCAATATATACTAAAGTCCTAACAGTAGAGACTCCATCGAGGAAAGCCAATTAAGACCGCCACATATTGTGGCAATTTTTTGGTGGAAGGTAAGGATCGAACCCTTGACCTCTCGCACCACCAAGACTTTATTTTTAAAGACTTGGTGGTGACCACCGGGCCAAAGGCCCTGTGGCAAGAAAAAAAATGAATACACTAAACTTCTTCTTAAATTAAAAATAACAATAAATAGAAGGTAGACACTTAGGTAGACCTGATGTATATAAATCTAGTAGCTCAAAATTTGAGTCAAAATAAAGAAACATCTTTCAAAATATCTCACAAACTATTTAATGAATTCCAAAATATCTCTATCTAACAAACTATTTAGTGAATTCTGGAGTGACAAGTATAACATTCTACAAAATTCTTTCACAATTATACAGGTTAGTAAAATCTCACACTGTGTTTTTATGCATATTTTTTTGAGACGATACTAGTGCTATTGCTGTTAGTTTTATAATATTTTGTAAATTTGATTCTTATAGCTTTAAATTTTTGTATTGATTCATTTTTATCTTTGGCAAAGAAAACATATTTTAATTACACATAACTTTTTATATTCAATCAAATAGTGCATGAATTATATTTTATGATTTGTATGAATTATAATTTCATGAGTACTCATCAAAGACAATTATAAATTTTTAATACTGAAGTAGCAGTTCTATTGTTATCTTCAAAATTGAATAAAATATTGCACTTAGTGTTAGTATTATTATTTTTGTAAGTTCACAACTCTGCCAATTATCTATATAGTATACTGCTTATGCTGTTATTTAATTTAATTGCTAATACATTTTTTAAAAAAGAATTAATCTACAATTTTGCCCAACCCAAGTTCTTGGTTCATCGGTCCTTTTCCCGCCACAATATGCAACTAGACATCTTTTTCCTAACTCCTCACTCAGCTACGAAAATAGAAATGGAGGCAACCTCAAAGACGATGATGAACCTATTCAAACAGCCCGCTGCCCAACGTCTCAAGTGAGTCTCTTCTCCTCCTCCTTTGACTTAACTCCGACGACAACGACCAAGCTCGCCGCTTTTTGCTCTTCATCGTTCTTATCGATTGGCGGTAAGCGTGATCAAAATGACATAGCTTCATCAAATCCCCACCCAATTTTACTTGAATCGAGTTGTCACCACCGAATCGAGTTCTCATCTTCGAAGAGAAGTCCAGAATCGAATTAAAAAAACCCTTGCCAAAGCCAGACAAAAGCTTAAGCTCTGATCCGACGAAATGGCCAAATGTAACCTTCTTAATTTCTCTATTTCCCTTAAGCGTCTCAAGTGAGCCAAACTACTCATCAGTAGTTTGGTGCTCGACTCAAGCTTAAGATGCTTGAGCAGCAAATTGAATCGAATTTGAATTTGAAAATACTATGCTCGAGTGCCCATTGAGAGTAATCGAGTATTATTAATTATTCAAATTTTAATTTTAAATATTTCACTCATTACTCAATTTATTATAGTTTTTAAGTATTTTACTTATTCTTTAAGACTCCTACTCATTTTGAAATGCTGAAGGTTCTTAGTAAGTGCTTGAAATGCTTAAGAATCTTTAAAACCAAGGTTTTGAAACCCAAATTGTTCATTGAACTGAAAAAAAATTGGATCACGGGTCACTAGTTTAACCATTAGGCTAATCGTAATTGACCCGTGATGTCATAAATACGTCATTAATAATTATTAATATTTTAAAGAATTATTGTATATAATAAAAATAAAATGCAACGATTGAGTAAATGATAATATTCGATCACACTATTAAGTTTGTCATCTTAACTAAAACATAAAGCCATTTTAAATAGATAGACCAAATTTTAAGAGTAATTGACTAATATTTAAAGTTGAAAGATATAGATAATATACATAGACATTTTGTTAAGAGTACAGGATAATCATTGACGTTAAGTTTTTTCATACTTTTAAGATCAACATGTTAATATTGCAAGATGCATTTATTTTTGATATGTTAGTGACCACAAGTTTTTAAGTAAAGGGAGTTGGAGGAAATTTTGAAAAAAGAAAGGAAAAGTGAGCTGTGATTTCATCTCATTATTGGCGAACATAAGACAATTAAAACGTTGCAGGGAAATGTGGGCCAAACTTCATGCCATTCAGCCGACATTCATGAGAATAAAAAAGGGTCAAATTGTTAGCTATTAGTCAAAATTGGTGTGCTGGTTGCCTAGAAATAGGATCTGCATAAGTGGTTGGCTCCAACGGCCTTGACCCAAACGATTCTAGGAAAATCGTTCCGGTTTGACGGTTCACTAGTTTTTTTTTTTTTTTTGGGGTCAAATTTCAACTTCATAACCGCCCGGTTTTTCCATTTCGCATGAAAGAAAATGGTTTTATGGCACTTCCGATTTTGAGGGTTGAACCAGCCCCAAAAACAGCCTGATTGACGGTTTTTCCGGTCCAATCGGACGGTCCGAGCTGGGTTTTAAAACAATGAATATATTTGGATAGAGTATTATTTGAAATAATTACTATAACATTTTTTGTGATATGATGTATGTGAAATAAAAAAATAGTTAAAAATATAAAAAGTGAATTTAAAAATATATTTATGATACAAGTGACATATGGGATTTTTTCCCCCTGTTTAGACACGGGGCGGGGGGAGGGGAAGTGTACCCCTCCCCCGCCACCCATTTAAAAAAATAAATATATAAATATATATATGTATATATAATATTTAATTTAATTCATTACAAACTTATGATAATGATATTATTGGTATATGTATTATATAATGTATATTAGTATCTGTAATATCATTGATATTATCAATTATATTATTAATTATATATGTCTACTAATAGACATTATTAATTAGTTATATTAAATTTACTAATATATTTATACTAAATCCCTAATCACACTTAATACCATGACATTATTTTCTCAAAAAAAAAAAAAGCACAAGCATAATAATGAATTAGTGATTGTATTTGTACCAAAAGTACAAATTTGACTACTTTAATTGTATTTATTTCATCATGTTAGATTGTATTCAAATAACTTTTGTTTAATTGTTTTCATAAGTTTCAATTATGAAATTACAATGAATAATAATTTAGTGATATATTAATATTTTAATACTTAATTATTTGTTAAAATTTAATTATAATAAAATTATGTAACAAAATTTTATTAGCCCCGTGGAAGCACCGCGGGGCGGGGGATAAGCTGATTGGCAATTGATTATCCAAGAAGGGTCAAAATCTTACGCTTTGGACCACACGGTCGACCACAAGTTGTAATCCATCACATTGTGGGCTCAAGTTAATGGGCTTGGAAATTGGTTCAAGAGAAATTTGTCTTGGACAAAACCCAATTAAGTCTCATAGCTATCAGGAAAAATGGACTGCTTATTTGGCAAAATTCAGGATCAGGGTCTTCAAGACTTGTTGAGTTAGCTTTCAACCAAGCTTGGAAATGAAGACATTTGTTGGCATCAAAATTCTGACATTTAATTAGTCAAGAAAATTTTGACATTTTACTAACAAAGCTGTGCATGAATGGGAGAAATACTTGCAAGCACAAGAGAAGAAGACATAAGGAAATTTAAAATGATGTGTTAGTGAATGTTGCTTTCCCTTCAACACAAGGAACAACATTTTATGTAGGTCACAAGTTAGCAAAGTTCGCGATTGATTCTTGCAATGAGAAAAAAAAATTAGTCAAGAAAATAAATAAATATAGTTTTCATGGTTCATTAGTTAAATATTTAGTCCAACTCAGAGGCCGTTTCTTTACGAAACAAATGATTGGGCTTAGTTAAATCATGACCCAAAACAAATGCAACACTTCATATTAATGGGTTGATTTAGACATTTTGGTCCATGATGGGCTAACCGAAACTTTGTTGTTACCAATGGGTATCCTTAGTCAAGAATAATCTGTAGAAAACCACGGGCCGTTTGGCAAGTGAGATTTTTGGATGTTCATCTAAAATTTTACTGTAATTTATTATAGAAATTTTAAATTTTTTTTTTGAATTTTAAAGTGTATAGTTTAAAAATTTTGAAAAGTTTTTTCGAGATTATCATAGTTAAAATTTTTAAAAAACTTGTAGCAGAGAAACTTGACAAAAAATTTGTTTACCAAACATGGCCGGTAACTAGCGCGTTTCCCTCCTTCAGGCTGGGATGCAATTCAATGGACCGCGGTCCATGACACGAAATCGTACTCAGCATTGTCCTTGTTCGCGGACAAATTTCGACATTTTACCTCTTTTTAACTTTTCGGCCTAACCGGGCTTTCTTTCTTCCCGCCAGAATATACAACCAGATCTATATTTTACTCAACTCCTAATTCAGCTGTGAAGAGTCTGAAGACAGAAATGGCGGCATCCTCAAAGACGATAATGGACCTATTCAAACAACCCGCTGCCAAGCGTCTCAAGCGAGTCTCTTCTCCTGCTCCTCCGACTTCGACTTCGACTCCGACTCCGACGACGACCAAGCTCGCCACTTTCTGCTCTTCATCGTCCTCACCGATCGACGGCGGTAAGCATGATCAAAACGACGTAGCTTCGTCAAATCCCCACCCGATTTTACTCGAACCAAGTTCTACTCCTCCTTCCATTCTTACCGCCGAAGAGAAGTCCAGGATCGAATTCAACAAAGCCCTCGCCAGAGCCAGACGAAACCTTAAGCTCTGCTCCGACAAAATTGCCAAATGTAACCTTCTTAATTTCTCTATTCCCTTCTTATTTAGCTAATTTTTCGCTTTGTCATTCCAAATTCGTGCCCCTTAGTTCCTCTATCCGGTGTAGTATACTTTGTCAGTTGCAAAAGTCTTTTTTTTTTTTTAATTTAAAGTTTTCCCCTTTTTTGTATTCTAAAACATTTAATCACTGAAATGCTTTTTCCTTAATTCCTTTCAATTAATCTTCCTTGTTCTGGGGTAAACTTTTTTTTTTGGGTCAATTTTATTGCTTTATGAGCGGCTTTGAATGCATGCCACATTTACAACAATAGGATATCTACTGAACTTCTGTACGTATCTATACATTTTGCACAGAAGTCAGCAAATTCATTTTATAATACATTTTGTACGTATCTATACGTTTATTACATTATGTGCCTTCTTTACTGATTGGGGCCCTTTTTAGCCTGATTCTTTTTTTTTTTTTTTTTAAATTGATTTGCTTTTGTTGTTTGCTAAAAATGTCATTACATATGCAACTTTTTTTTTTTGTTATTCAATAAATGTTGTGTGATGTTCATGTTTGTAAAAGTTTGATCTTTCTTATTAGAAACAATGATATCGAGAGAAGTAATAGTCTGCGATTGTGAGTTTTCATGTTATAGGTGAGGATGTAGGATGTGTGAAGTTGGAGGAGCTGTTGGTTGAAGAAACCTGGCTGGGAAAGTTACCAGGGGAATTTCAAAAGCCATATGCGAAAAATCTGTTTAAATTTGTGGAGAGTGAAATTCAGAGTGGTTTTCCAATTTATCCTCCTCAACATCTGATCTTTAATGCTCTCAATACTACTCCTTTCGATCGAGTGAAAGTCGTTATCATTGGGCAGGTGATTTTCATGTTTGCCATATAAGTTTGGGTTTCTATTGTAAATCTTTCTGTTGAACTCATGGAATCTTGTCTGAATTGCTCATTACTAGCTTGTTTTTGACAAACCACTGATGTCAATGTTCGTCCCTAAATTTAGAAGCAATACAAGTATTTGGAACTTTCTGAAACTGAACCGTTGACTACAATTTAGCACTTTTTGTTGCTTTATTTGAGGAAGTTTGACACTTCATTCTCATAGAATTGAAAGGAAAGAGAAACTTTGGTTCTCTACTTCGTAAGATAACAAAACACTGAATAGTTAAAAGAATTCCTGTGCATTTGAGTTCACTGATAATAGTTTCATAATTGAAAGGTCGGAAATCTTAATAGTTGTTATCAATCTAATTGGATGTTGTTGACAAAAACATCCAGATATTTAGCAGAGGGTGTAAGTTGCCTAGCAGTGACTTTGTTTTGATAGCTTGCCATAAAAGCTTACGCTAAGATTAAGTTTTTACCTTCTTTGGTTCTTCTCCTAGGATCCATATCACGGGCCTGGTCAGGCGATGGGGCTCTCCTTCTCTGTGCCTGAAGGTGTTAAAGTCCCTTCGAGTCTGATAAATATATATAAGGAGCTTCAGAATGATTTGGGCTGTTCAATTCCTTCACATGGGAACTTGGAGAGATGGGCTGTACAGGTACTACTAAATCCAGTGGTAATGTACAGCTTATTCCACGTTTGTAGTTATGCAGATCCTATGGTTTTTTTAAAGTGCGTTTAGTTCTGGAAAATTTTCACTTCGACGACTCTTTGGCAAACTTTCTTAGGTTTTTTTTTGTGCTTTTTGTCACCGGTACAATTACCTTTTGAATTTTGTAAGCTTTTGTTATTCTGTTGCATATTATATTGGTAGGAAACTTGATGTACATATTATGCAATTTAATTGGTGAGGTTTTATGTATTAGGTTTCTTAAGTGTATAGTAAATCTTAGTGCTGAGCATCAAATTAGTTAAAATGTTATCTCCTTCTCTTGTTACCAAAAGCTGTTCTACAATATTATTCTTAATGTCATCTGTATTCTGTTATCTTTGTGTTAAATGGTGTCTAAACACTGCCTAATATTCGATCATGTAATTCTTTAGGGGGTTCTACTGCTGAATGCTGTTCTGACAGGTATGTTCATGTTTCTATTGAAATTTATATATTGACTTTCAAAGGTGTTCCATCATCTTTTATCCATGAATATTCCTGAGTTTTCAGTGAGGGAATCTCAAATTTTGATATTTGCTTTTTTCAACTTTACCACAAAGTAAAAAACATCTCAAATTTTGAACTCTAGTCATTGTTTTGGAGCTTTGCTTTCTTACAATCTACATTATCTATCTTCTTTCTTGAAGAAAATTGCTCAGACTATATTAAAGCCATGATACCATTATGTTCTATCCTTTACTTTCAGTTAGCCTTATAGTACCTATTCTTTTTTTCACAATTTGTTTCCTTTGACTTACTTTTCAGTTAAACAGAGCCAAGCAAATTCCCATGCAAACAAAGGTTGGGAGCAATTTACTGATGCTGTCATCAGGACAATTTCACAGGAGAAGAAAGGTGTTGTTTTTCTTCTCTGGGGTAATTATGCACAAGCAAAAGCCAGGTACTTTTAGTTGTATGCTTGCTTTACTGTGCATTTATGGACTTTCAACAAATCTCTTCCCAATTAATTTAATGGGTTACAACATTTCCCTCCACTTTTTGCTGCTGGCACTCAAATCTTTTTTGTAATGTTTGCAAATGAATGAGAGACAAATGGAGTGCCATAACAACAAGTGTAATGTGCATATTGCTACCCTTGATTTGCACATATTTCTCCTTTTTACTCCTTATATTGGTGATCTGAACTAGAAGAGGTACCAACCTAAATAGGCACAGTATTAACTGATAGGAAATTAAAGAAAATCCAGATATTGAGATTGCTAAATTTCAAAGTGTCAAGCTTTTCTGCTGTTAATTACATTTCTTTTGTAGTGTCTCTATAGTCATGGTATTCTTGCTGCTTTGCGTTGGTCTTCTCAAGTAGAACATTGAGCAGCACGGCATTGAGGTCTATGTATCCTAAAGGGAAACTAAGGCACTTGAATTTTACAAATTTTGGAAACTGTTATCCTCATGTAAATTTGACAAGGTGAATAAGCAAACGTCACCTCAGCACCAATTTGTCAAAATGTGAAGAAACTAATGAGGGTGGGTAATTTGCTGCTCTATACATCAGAAGTCTTTGACTCTCTAAAATTAAAATAGTTCAAACTTTAAACTGGAATGGAAGACCTCGTTGTGAGGTTAACACTTTTAGACTCTCTTTTGCTTTCCAGTTTTTGGACTTTTTTGGTTAATATATCTTTAACGAGCATAAGATATTTGTGTAAACTCTTTGATTATTCACCAATATTTTTTTTGTTTCTTGCGGTTAGTTAAATTGGTTTTAGACTGGTTAGGGGATCTGCACAACCAGAAAGTGAAACACCGATGGCTCCTGGTAGGGAGTTGTCTTTAGCACCATGATTCTCTGGCAGTTTAATCTACGAAGTTCACTTCATAGTACGGTATTGTTCTCTCTCTAGTTGCGATACAGAGGAACATCATATTATTATCTTAGTGCGTAAATGCTTCTAGATGAGGATAAGGAGTGAATTTTTTTGGTAACTATAAAACATGGCTAATAAAGTATTGAATGGCAAAGTTACTCGTTATAGAATAGAGTCAAATAGTTTTAAATCGGCAATTCACCTAGTATTCAGTGTTCCCTAGTAACCATCTGCATCTTCAACTTCCATTAAGCCTCATTCTGGGTCATAAAGCTACTCCGTAAACCTCAATTGCATCTCCTCTGTGGTGCTTCTGTGTACGTGTTTATCAATTTTTACAGTGAACCATTCAACAGAGTGCGGGTCTACCTTAAAACAGCACAAATATTGATGCTTTTTCTTCTTCACTAGGACCTCTTACTGGTTGAATCATTTCAACACAATGATTGTGGTTATTTGGAGTTCTTCATTTTAATTGGTGCTCGAGAAATCCAACTTTCTAGCTGCAGTGGCGGATTTACACAAAAGTTTTAACTTGTGATCGTGGTAACCTTGCATGCTATGATTCTTGACTGCTGCTGCTAATAATGACTCCACGGAAACAGTCTAGCTTGTGCAGAGCAAAATAAGTCCCTTTCATTTAAATCTGTTAGTGCATCCAAAACAATGATCCTTGGGGATGAACCAAGTTTCAAGTGAGACAGATTTAATGTTTGTGGACATGTCGTGCTGTTCTCTATTTAAGAAAAGGAAGCTTGAAAATTGCATGCTTGACTAGATTGAAGTTTTGCTTTGCAACTTGTTTGTTACCCGCATGTTGTAATTGTTTGGAAATCCAACAGAGAATTGATTCTAGTTTCTTAAATGGAGCAGAGAGCTGATAGTTATAGGAAGCATCAACTAACTGAATGACATTTATTTTGTCCCTTTCTACTAATCTACCACCTTTGAATTCTATAGATTGTCCACAGCAATCTTAAGATTTTTTTTTTGGGCTTTGGACAGGTTGATCAATGAAACAAAGCATCACATTCTCAAGGCAACCCATCCATCTGGTTTATCTGCAAATCGGGGCTTCTTTGGCTGCAGGTCTCTATCAATTCAAGATGATATGCCTGTTTACTTTAACATCTCTTGAGAAAATGTACCACATCATTCGTTGTGGCTTTCCATGTGGGGTTTTATTTCCTTGTGAGGCTTGGATGATGCATTGGGATCAGAGTTTTGAATTAGGTCTTGGAATGTCAGTATGTGGATTTTCAGCTAAATGAACCACTTGCAAAGTGAGATACCAAATTGTTAATGGAACACCATGTCACTTTGCACCAATGCACCTTGAAGCAAGAAAATCCCATGTATTCTTTACGTAAAAACATATCTTTGAATCTTACCAAATTGATGGCTTCTGGCCCCATGAGACCTGCCATGCCTTGCCCGTGCTGTGAGAGAAGGAACAAGAAAAATCCCAGTTAGTAACATAGAATGTCAATGCTTTTTTTTTTCCTGCTCTTAACTTTGTCAGTTGTTAATGCTAAAGGCTACACTAACTAGTGAGATTGCAATTTTTCTGCTAATGTACTTACAAGTAATTTTTGAAGACATACTTAAGATAGATAATGTTGGGATAGGTTTCATTCTGCCTTGCGTGTGTCTGGATAATCTACCTATAAACTCTATTCCATTCTTTGAAAATGAAACTTTAGTGACTGAAGCCATGATTTTATTCTGTATTGTTAACTTCAGAAAACCATGTTTTGTATGTGCAGGCATTTCTCTCGGACAAACCAGATTTTGGAGAAAATGGGAATTTCTCCCATTATTTGGCAACTATAGTGCAGAAGGCAAACTTCTGTTTCTGAACATGATTTTGCCTGCAGCTGGAAGTGATCTTCTTGTGCTTATGTGCATAACATAACAAGATAAGTGAAAGATTTAGTTAGTTAATTGTAACTGTTAGTTCCAGTAATTCAAAAGTGATGATTTTTGAGACCTTTTAACTTTGCTGAGTGGGTCACAGACGGTGTGCACTCTAGCATGTAGCATTTAATTATGTTCACCTGGTGCTGGAACTCCTTTTGTACACCTTGTAGACACATTATTAAAGTTGCTGAATTTATCATGTTCACTTGGTGCTGGAACTCCTGTACTGCACCTTGTAGTTTCAGAGTTCAAATCCCCACCTTGCCCCTTAATTTTAGAGATCCCAAAATTTGCAATATGGGTTAGAGATGGATTTGACTTTTCTAAGGGAGGTGTTAATAGAATTATGATCTGGGGCCAGGTTCGGAAATAGCAAAAGGGGTAAAATTTATTTGCTTTCATCACCTGTTTCTTAAGTATACTTTTGAACCCATTGCAATTTTGTATAGTGTAATAGGTCGCCTACTTCTTTGTTTTATGTGCAAACTTTTCTGTTAATCACCTGTGTTCTATTGGGGTACAATCTGATTGATTCTTTTAGTTTTGATGGAGTTAAAGTTACAGAAAAGACAACGTTGTAGTGAACTTGTCCTCTTAAAGTAGGCTTGAAATTGACATCTAACTCCTTTGTTTGATGGAAGTACTACAAACTTAGAAGCTTAGGTCCTTCTTGGCAAAACATTGTTACATTTCACATATGAATCAACTGTTCTAAGTATTGCATATTCATTGGAAAATCCAGCAAGATAGAATCAAACGAAACAAAAAGTTTTAAAGATAAAAATTCCTAAGCAAAATGGACTTTGAACTTGATGCTCCCTGAAATTTCGTCAATCTTTTGGCCCTAACAAAAAGTCAAGATCCTATCAGTTTGTTTTGCAGATAAATTTCTTGCTATTTTCCCATTTTTGGATGTCCTCAAAGGTGTTACTTTCTGTCATAATCCTTGACAAAAAGGCATATGACTGTCTCGGAAGCAGATTTCCTTGATACCACGGCATTCAGGAGTTGACCGCAAATGACATATGCAATGGTGTGGAAATCAACACATTCTAGAATATTGAAAATTCGTCCAAAGCAACATGACCTCATATCTTGAGAATATTTTTCACAATTTCCTTGCTCAAATTGACAACATATTACATGAATGAAAGAGATATTGTTTTGTACAGGAACCAAAAGCCACATGTGGGAAACTAAAGTTCTTTTTTGTGGTATTGGATATGGTTCTAGATGATATCTAAGGGTCAAATTTGTCAAGCCAGCTTATGGTTTGAGGGAAACAAAGGGCCTGTCTTCAAACTCTCCATTGATGGCTGATAGAAACGCATTTCGGATTTCAGACTAATTTTCATAGAAATTTAAGCATTAAAGACTTTCACCACAACCTTGGGGGTGTTCAAATTCATGGCTCTATTTTGTCTTCAAAAAGCAGATTGAGATCAATTCACTGATACACACATCTAAAAGTGGACGTATGCTTGCTTTAATGTATTAGATATGTTTTTCAGCCTCTGACACAGTTATTTCAACATATTTGTCAAACACAACGAACACGTGTTTTCAAGTTATGGATTAATTAGTTTGACATAGCGCATTAGAATTAGTCATAGTCTTGACTAGTAAGACATGCCATGTACAGGTTATTCATTTACTTTCATATACTCAAGCCTGCATGATGTTCCTCTTCCGTAATTGCTAGAACTGGTTAATAACCAAATGTCTTTCTTGTAATAATTACTCTTTTTTGAAATTCTAAGCAAGCTCCCACATGTATACTTCTACAAACATGTGTTATTGACTTTTAAAAGTATTTTTATCAACCATGATACACCTGTGTGATCCTCGGCCACCAATTTACATAATAGTAATTCAAGATTTAAGCTGTCTGATTGTTTTGACACCAAAATGTCTCAATCAAGACGTGTGAGAGGGAAAGACAGAGAGAGTTCATGAATTACATTAGCACCAATAGCAAAATGGAGAAGTGGACTTTGGGAGGCAAAGTTTTTGGTAAGGAATTTGGAGCTTTGCCTTTTCAGCTGGCCAACTTTGTGCCCACTTGTGGAGTTGTTGTACATCTAACAAGATCGCCATAGAGCCTATGAACTGCTTAACTAGAAGCAAGAAGAAGACATCAATGAAGAGCTTACACAAATTCTGTTGCTTCTGCTTTCTGTTGCCTCCTTTTATACTGTCTGATGCTACGGATACCATAACTGTAAATGAGCCACTGGCAGATGGGAAAACAATCATCTCATCAGGTGGAACTTTTGAACTGGGATTTTTCAGCCCAGATGTTAATTCCAGGAGTAGATACTTGGGAATATGGTACAAGAAAGTTGCCAAATCTGCAGTGGTATGGATTGCTAATAGAGACGTTGCAATGAATGACACAGATGGCCTTTTGAAGATGACTGATCAAGCTAAACTCACACTCGTGAAAAGTAGAGATACAGCCATATGGTCCACAAACGCCACGAGGTTGGTAAGGAATCCAGTAGCCCAACTTCTTGATTCAGGAAATCTTGTTGTAAAAGACGCAGCTGATGACAATCCAGAGAATTACCTCTGGCAGAGTTATGACTATCCTACAGACACTATATTGCCAGGGGTGAAGCTTGGACCTGACTTGGTGAAAGGCATTGATAGGTACCTTCAGTCTTCAAAGAGTAGTATCGATCCTTCAAGAGGTGATTTTTTATATCGAACGGATCCTAATGGCTTTCCACAACAGTTCTTGATGAACAATTCACTTCCACAATTTCGTTCTGGACCGTGGAATGGTCTGCGGTTCAGTGGCTCACCAGGCCTGAAACCAAATCCGGTATATACATACGAATTTGTAAATACTCCAAAGGAAGTATACTACAAATTTGATCTGATTAACAGCTCTGTCTACTCAAGGCTTACTTTGAGTAGCTTTGGGGTGCTTCAAAGGTTAAATTGGAATTACCGGACTCAGGATTGGACTGTTTACGTTAATGCACCGGCTGACAATTGTGATACTTACGGGCTTTGTGATGCCTATGGCATCTGCAACATTGCTAATTCTCCAGTTTGTAGCTGTTTGGATAGATTTGTGCCACAATCCCCCAATGATTGGAACGCAACAGACTGGTCGAGTGGCTGTCAGCGAAGAACTCCTTTAGATTGTCAAAAAGGGGATGGATTTCTAAAGTATACAGGCATTAAGTTGCCAGATACAAGATGGTCCTGGTATAATGAGAGCATAACTCTCAAGGAATGTGAGAAAATTTGTTTAAAAAACTGTTCCTGCATGGCTTATTCAAATACAGATGTAAGAGGCAAAGGAAGTGGCTGCTTGCTTTGGTTTGACGATCTCATCGATATTACCATGATTGGCGAAAGTGGGCAAGATATCTACATAAGGATGGCCTCCTCTGAGTTAGGTAATGATGCTGTCACATACGCTATGCGAACCTTCTTTCGGAAAGATGATAAATTGCAGCATTAGAGTTCATGCTTAAACTTGCAGTAAGTTGAAGAATGAATCACCAACTTTTTGTCATAGGCATCAGTTATTGTCATCATTTTTCAAATCATCGTTGGCCGTGCAAACATTGTTCATTAAGATGTAAATACTATGCAAGGTCATGAAATTTCAAGAACTTAATGCTTGAACACATAATTTGACTTGTTGCTTCTGTTCTAAGCTTTCACCGTTTATATCAGAAATTCTAATCAAGTACATATATTTTTAATTCTGCAACTTCCTTAGAGCTCTTGAATATGCATCACTATGTTATCTAATTACTGGCTTCAATCTATGAGAAAACAATACTATTAACATTAGCTCTGCTAAATGAAGCATCCTTTTTTTCCCTAAATATCTGAGTATGTTTGAACAAAAAGATATGTAAACTTACGTTGATACATTCGTGCTTTCCTGCCAACTAGGCCCTGGATCCAATAAAGCGAAAAAAATTGGAATCAGCTTGTGTTTGGTGGTTCTTCTACTGCTGGTCCTTGGCCTTGCTTTGAATGTTCAAAAGAAGAGGAAGAGGAGGCAAGCTGAACATGTGTCTGGCGAAGGTAAGCGGATACTTCTATATTAGTGGCAAGGTGTAATATATGCTTGCTTTCACTTCATGAAAAGAAATGAGAATGCATGTCAATTTCCAGACAATTCTCTCAAAATTTGTTGTCTATCTATAACCAGACATATAATCTTTCTCAAATTCTTGCTTTTACTTATCTTTCCGGGATTTATCCAACAGCTAGTACGGGAACCAGATCAACGCAATATCTTGCTGAAGAAGGTGACAAGGAAGATGTTGAGCTGCCACTGTTTGAATTGAAAACCATCATCCAGGCTACTGATAACTTCTCAAGGGATAATAAGCTTGGAGAGGGTGGATTCGGTCCTGTTTACAAGGTAAACATTTATTATTCGCGGGTTAAATTTAACCCCTTATTGAAAGTTTTGAAGTCCAGAGGAACTGGACCTGTTTTGATTTCGATATTCAAGTCAATGTATTTCTCTTGAGGAAAACCAACCAAAATAAGAGAGAGAAATATTTTTATTTTGCACTCTTTAGGATGAGAAAGAAATCTAGTTTGGATTGTAGTTTTCTGCAGAAAAATTTTCATGTTTTCCATGAACACATTTCACAATCACCTTTTTACTTCACACTTATCAAATCATTACAGTACATTTTTCTACAAAAGCTCCTAAAAATAACAATCCAAATGGTCCAGGACGAGCCATACAATCAGAATGAACATAGTATTGTGTGTGATATGTGTCTGCCAAGGCTGTTAGCTAGTTAAACAGATACTCTCATTAAAAGCTAGTTTATCTTAACGATTTTCTTAAGATACAATAATCTTGGCAACCTCCGATCATAATCAGTACTATATAATTAGTGGGATTTGACATATGATGATGCATCTAATTCAAAAAAACAGAAAAGGAAAAGAAAAAAGAAAAAAAGATACAGGATTTATGGAAACACGCACAAAAGAAACTGGATATCACACCTTCAAATTGATCTATGACATACAACAATTTTCAGGGTACACTTGTTGGGGGACAAGAAATTGCAGTGAAGCGGCTTTCTCAAAACTCCACACAAGGACTTGATGAGTTCAAGAATGAGGTTAAATGCATTGCAAAGCTCCAGCACAGAAATCTTGTGAAGCTTCTCGGGTGCTGCATCCAAGAAGAGAAGATGTTGATTTATGAATTCATGCCTAATAAGAGCTTGGATTTCTTCATCTTCGGTGGGCTCTCTCACAACAATACACAAATATATAGAAAATTACAACTTGATCTTGCATTCTTTTAGTTCTTTCTCGTACAATCACATTGTTTTTCACTAGAATTTTCATTTCACATGTGGTTTCACCAAAAGTTACTCCTTACGGGTTGGTAATAATGCTTTACATCTATGCAGTGAAATGACATGAATGAAGGGGGCGTTTTTTTTTGTTCTCCCAAAGCTGAAAAATATTCAAACTTCATAATATAGTCAATGACCTGCTGATGTCAATGGACTTTCTTTCTTTCAAATTTAAATCACTTACATGCAGGCTCAGATACTAAGATGTAAGATTTTGCAGATCATGATCGGCGCAGATTCCTTGATTGGCCAAAACGCTTCCAGATTATCACCGGGATTGCTCGCGGACTTCTGTATCTTCATCAGGACTCCAGATTGACAATCATCCACAGAGATCTTAAGGCTGACAACATTTTGTTAGATATTGATTTGAAACAAAAAATATCAGACTTTGGCCTGGCCAGAATTTTCGGAGGAACTGAGACTGAAGCAAGCACAAAAAGAGTCGTTGGAACATAGTAAGGATGCCCTTTAACAATTAAATTTCATGACTTTTTCGTAGGATATTGATATAATTCTTCTCTCATTATCCTATCTTAGTGGCTACATATCGCCAGAGTATGCAGTGGATGGATATTTCTCAACAAAATTAGACGTATTCAGCTTTGGTGTTTTGGTACTGGAGATTGTAAGTGGGAAGAAGAACAGAGGATTTAGCCATCCTGATCACCATCATAATCTTCTTGGGCATGTAAGTTACCTCTATTTCCATTTCATACAGCATTGAGTTCATTTTTTATTCCCACGAGCAACATAATTACCACAAGTGCTTCATAAACTTTCAGGCATGGTTACTTTACAAAGAAGGCAGATGTCCGGAGTTGATTGATAACCATTTGAGTGTATCCTGTCATCTATACGAAGTTATAAGATCAATTCATGTAGGGCTACTATGTGTACAGCAATCTCCAGATGACAGGCCAAGTATGTCATCTGTGGTTTTTATGTTGGCTGGTGATGGATCGTTACCTTTCCCTAAAGAGCCTGGCTATTTCACTGAAAGAAATTTATCTTTCGAACCTGATAAGAGTTCATCAGGCAAGAAAGAAAATAGTTCTGGCAATGCTTTAAGCATCACATTGTTAGATGCTCGATAGTTGAATGAATCTTTTGCAGGTTTGCTCCAAGAAAAGCCTGTGGCATTCCATACTCCCTTTAAAAGTAAAAGAAGAAGTGAAGTGCTAGAACTTTTTTTAAATAGGTCTCATACTCTCTACATAGAAGTGTTGGCTATAATGAGATATTTTGTACATACATACACATGTATATAATTTTTTGATTTGGCTAAAAAGTGCTTAATGAGCACTCGTTAAGAGGGGATTTAAGTGTTAGATTGTGGCTAATTCGAGAATGTATCTAAATGTCAGAGTACATTAATTGTGATTGTGTATATTAACACGGTAAGTTAAGCATGATTAGGCACCAATTAGAAAAATTCATAATTTTTTTTATATTACTTCAGTACTTATGATCCTCTATAAATTGGTTTCTAATTTATCAAAAAATTTGGATGGTACGTATATACAAGTTCTCACCAAGGTTAAAAGCAAATGCAAGATTAACCATGTTTCAAGATTGGATTTTGAAGCAACTAAGAAAGGCAAGGGGATGCACGATTATCCCAAACAGCAGAGATGACACTGATTAGCAGATAATTATAGCATTGATTAAACAAAACCTTGAGAACCAAAAGCTTAAGTGGATCCAAAAATGCAATTAGAATATGCCCCAACATGTTTAACGCAATATGCTTGTCCTCTCTCTAGAGTAAATGGTGCAATTAGTCACCAAAAATTTTCAAACTTCATGTTTTAGTCACTAAACTTCTTATTTAGCCAATGTGCTTTGCCAACTCATAAAAGGGAGTATAATTTTTGGCATTCAATTAATTAAAGCTGACATATTTTATCACTCATCTTATGAAAACTCATACCTATTTAGCCCCAAAATGCATGTTTTAATTAAATGAATGACTATTTTAAATAAATAAAAGGTTTAATCACCAATACAATGCTTTAAATAGTTGAATAACCATTTTTCCCATTAGCTCCTATATACACATAAATTTTCGAGCAACCTTTTGTTTTCATTCTTTTGACTAGTTCGCTCTTAGGAAAAAGTTGCATCCATATAATTTGGACATGACCACTTGCTTTAGCCCCAGTTCGTCACGGTATCCCTATTGGCTGTTTAGTAGTTTAAAATCCCACCCCACCAATTAATTTCACGGAGCCCCAAAGTTTTATTTTGGGAAGAGGTGGTTTTCACTCTAAAAGGGTGTTACCTACAATTCGAATCTAAGGACACATTTGGTGGGACACAGCCGTTCGGGTTGGTTTTATGCAAAATGCACAAGAAGTAACTTTGTATGTACACAATGTAACTCATCTTCAATAACGTGTAATTATAAAAAAAAATTTTGTAGATCCCACAAATGGTGTAAAAATGATGTACAAGATGCAGTTTGGACCTTATATATATATATTTGGGGCCAAATCTTAGCTATAAACCTTCCGAAACGATTGCTTCCTGCAACTATTCCTGCCCCTCCTCCCATTCGCAGTAAAAGAGGTACTGATGTACTCATTTGCCTATTTCTTTTTGTTTCACAGGGTTAATTGCACTTTGTACTCTTCAATCATACTTAGATTTCTACTTTAATCTTTAAACTTTAAAATAAGGCACTTGAGTCTCTATATATAAAATTTGCCCCTTTCAAGTAAATTTGTTGACGCAAGTGAGACAAGTATTAAACTTGGTAAGCAGAAATTTTATACTTTAAGGACTAAAGTAAGATAAACTTTATATTTTAGGAACTAAGATGGTACCAAATTTATATTTTGGATTGCATTTTTCTGGACTTTTTGTAGAAAAAATACTGTAGCGATTTTATATACGTGTGGTAAAAGTGTGATTGAAAAATGTGTGCTCGAAAAAAATAGTAATTTTTCTTTGAAAAATTTCAATCCAAACACATTGTGAGGATATATGTGAGGATATATCAACATTCAATTTGATATATGTGAGGATGCATCCTTGTTTCATATGTGCAGGTTTAAAATTAATCAATCACGGATTTAAATAATTTATTTAATAGTTTTATCATCTGATTGATTCTTTAAGTCTTGAAGAAATAGAAATTACTGAACAAATTAGTGTAGTCAACTTTCCTCTTAAATTATGCATAAAATCGAACTTTTGTATGCCTAATGAAAACACTACACAGTTAGAAGTTAAAATGCTTGTCAAGTGTTGTTGCATTTGACAAATAAATTACTCTGTTTGGGTCTGCGGATTTGATATCAAGAAAGCATTCAGTTGAATGGATTTGAAATTATGATTAATTGAAATGCATTGTTTGGCAAGTTTTTTAAACCAGGGAAATTCCAAAGTTCACATATATAATTGGGGTAAAACATAAAAAATAAAAAAGTTGAAAGGTAAAGGTCTAATTTGCCAGCCGCCTTGACAATGACATCATGCTAACGTATCATTTTTCTTTCTCACGCAACAACGCCAACCTCTAGGAATGCATATATCATAAGTCACTAAATTCCTACATTTTATAGTTATCCTATTTCCTTATCCCTATGTTTTAGATTTTTTTTTATCAGAAAAGCTTTAGACTTGTTCACAAGTAATCAACATTGTGTATCGATATGAGTAGAGATTGAGAGGGTTTTATAAATACATGTAACTATCAGAGTTTCAACTTCTGTAATGCTACTAAAATCCAGTTTTATTTGAATTGAGAAATTTGATGAAGAATTTGAAATTCATCCAAATCACTTTAGTTGTTTAAATTGCTTAATAGGCATTTGGATTTGTAATACGTCAATTATTAAAATATATTTTATCAAGTCCTTCATCAAATCCCTCAATTCAAAGGCAATTAATTTAGTTGGATTATGTAATTGGTTCAGAAGATGAAATCGTGAATCCAATATCACGCTTTTATAGTTCCTGGAATAAGGAAAACGTGATACCTAGTTTGACGCCTTCTATGCATGCTGCTAAGGGGACTAGTCATATTCTTTTTCTGGCTGCTTTATTTAATTGGAAAACATCTTTTTATAGAGCCTGCCAATTCATTTTTCATGTCATGTGATTGTAATTTCTTTTTTTAAAGAAAAATTTTGGATGAATTCGACTCCGATCCTCACCACGAATCAGGGCGTGCCTAAGGATTATAATCATTTTTGCAGGATTGGATTTGCTCTCTTTGAATTTATCTTATTTTCTTCTTTCCCAAGTTTTGCTTCCTCTTGCATTTTTAGTCTCTATTATTAATGGATTATCAGCTTTATTTGATCCCAATCAACTGGTGCTTTAATTTCACTTGGTTATCCAGTTTGTTAATTCCAATTTCCATACCTGAGTCTGTTTAACACAGCAACATACCAGCAAGCAGTAGATGAAACTAGGATTTGAAACGACACTTAATTTAATGGAATGTAAAATCAATCATCTTCTAATTTCAAAATCCCTTTCAACAAGCCATTAATTTGACAATGGAGCGCAACTTATTTAGTAAAACATTTCTCCTGAAATCGATACGTCACAAGTTCGATTCATCAAGAAAATAAGTGAAAAATCACTGTTGATCATTTAAAAAAAAAGTGATGAATTTCATGTCCCCATCCTAAGAGAATCCAAACAAATGAGGGGATTTGGGTGGATATTTCAAGGCCAAGCCATCCAACCAAACCTCTAAACGCAAACGAATCCTAAGAGTTTTAAGCATCACAAATTCAATCAAAAAAATCCAGCAAGACAGAATCAAGTCTAAAATGTAAAGCAAAAATCAAGACAAAAATGGGCTTAAAGTTCATGTTCCCCGCAATTTCTTCACTTCGGTCCCTCCATTAATGGCGAGATTGAGATCAAACTATCAACTACATTTGTCAACCTGTCCCTTTATGTCGGTGACGGTCAAAAATTGTTGTTGCCATAATTAACCATATATGGCACCTCCCCGTCAAAGTCGTTACCATTTTTTTTACTTCTTTTTGATGTAGATTTCTTACCTTTTACGCCATTTTTGCTTGTCCTCAGAGAACAACTTTCTGCCATTACCCCTTTATCCAAAAATCATAACAGAAGAGAAATGACTACCTCAGAAGAAGATCTGCAGGGTCTACTAATGAAATCGGCACAGCCATACAAGTTGACAGCAAACGTTATTATGTGGTGCTGAAATCAGCACTTTTATTTTTGGGATAATTTCAGAAACCTTCCTTGAGGGTTTCCGACAATTTCTCATGGTACTCTTGAGATTTTTAATATTACACTTATTTCCCTTGACCCTGTAAAATGGCCATAATTACCTTAATATATGAATAGTTTTCATGCAATTAAACATTTCGCTGCTAATCTTATGCATATGAATGCATCGCGCAATTAGACATTTAATGGAATTAAAACAAGATTTACTCGTGAAATAAACAATTATGTCCTGAACATAATTTTAGTATATTATAGATTAATTTTAGCTTTGTTTGGAGGATCTGGAAATAATAGAAGAAGATGTAACTTGAAGGTTTAGAAAAGATGGGGCTAGTGTTGGTACTCCAACATTTGAGGGATAGGAATATTGGATGTTATATTAATGTAGTTGGTGAAATTTTTTGCATTTAACGTTGCTGATTTTTTTTTAAAACTTATATTGAGGTTTTAGAATTTAGGGACTAATAATGGTGGTGGTGATCATGGTGAAAATGGTACTAATTTGAGATGTGAGAATATGAAAGGTTTAAAATAGTAAAGGTGAGATAGTGAATTTGAGATTTTATACACGTTTCATATATATATATATATATTAAGAATTTTATAAGAAGGTAAAATGAACATCATAGTTTCATGGGGGTATTTTGGGTTATTCAGTCAAAATTTTAATCATTGAATAGTTTTCCTTACCAAAAAAGTAAACTCAAGGGAGGTATATGTAATTTTTAAAATCTCAAGAGAATTAGGTGAAATTGTCAAAAATTTCAAGGAAGATTTATGAAATTATCCCTTTATTTTTTTTAATGGAAAACAAGTGACTTGATTCACTTAGGGTTAGTTGGGGTAAATTTCCTCAGGCTTGGTTCAAAGCCACTTTGCCCCCTAATGGTACTTTTTAAGCATTTTGCCCCCTTAGACAATCAAAATCGTGATTAAGCGTTACACAAGGCCTGAAGTTCGAATGTAACCCTAATTTTCAACCATAAGGACTACGTTAACTTGCAGTTTACCCACCATGATTTAAGACCCTAGTTGCACTTTTCCCCCCCGTAAGATTTT